AAGTATTTATGTATTTCACTATATTGTTTCAATATATATTTACGTAAATGAGTAAACCTTCTAAATGACAAGTAATTTTTAAAGATAAACAGTTACTGAATTGAACAATTGAAATATCATACATGTATTATACTTAAAACATTTAATATTGAATCAGTTTCCAAATAAAAATAAATTTATTGCAGATGTTACTGCGGTTTAAGTTTATTGAATTTTATGACTTTAAATATAATGAGAAATCTAAGTTTCAGTCTTTACAACTCTTTTTTGTTTCACAAATTAAGTAAGTAACAATGTATAAAATAAAGTTCTTAGTAGGTTTTTTTGTTTCATTCAGCGCTGTTTCTTTGTCGCCCGTACTGTGTAGACTTGAAGTTCGAAAATAGAATCTGTACCCGAGGATGTATTGAGGGATACTGGGGTGATCAATGCCTTCACAAATGTCCATCGACTTGTTCAGAGAAGAGCTGCAACAGAACTAATGGGCTATGTAATTCTTGTCCCGACGGGCACTATGGGGATACATGTGCAAAGAAATGTTATTGGTCTAAAAATTGCTCCGGAGGAAAATGTAACAAAGGCAGGGGAACCTGTCCAACTGGGTGTATATTTGGTTACTATGGGCCCTACTGTATGGAATCATGTGGTAATTGCAGCAGTGGCTCTTGTGACAATTCAAACGGAAACTGTAATGTATGTAATACTGGCTATTATGGAAGAAAGTGCGATAGAAAATGTAATAACAACTGTCTTAATCAGGAATGTAGGAAAAATGATGGTTATTGTAAAAATGGCTGCGACAGAGGTTTCTATGGTTCATTCTGTAATTTGTTATGTAGTAAAAATTGTGCACAACCCAAATGCAAACAAAATGGCGATTGTATTGGTGGATGTAAACCGAACTGGACTGGAGAAAAATGTGACAGTAAGCTTCTAAATTTTGCATGTTATTGTTAAACACATTGAGATAACGAACAGTATTCGAGATCAAAAGTCCATTCATATCTATATGAATGAAAATAAAATTAAGGAAATGCATAAAAAATGAAAACTAAATATAAGGAATCTACAGTATATATTTTATAGCTTTTTCCCAGTCCGACGTTGAAAATAATAAGCTAGATTTATAAAACCATAAATTGGGATACATTGCATTTTTTTAATAAAAGTGACTTTCCACTTCTGGTAATGTCCTATGAATTAAAAACAAATCTTAAGACAAATTTCAAAGCAATGAACTAAATATATGAGTTTGTAGTCGTTTTGGATAATTGATCTGTGCCTCTTTCAAGAATACTGTAAACCAACTTTTATACGCGACGACTTTATTTCACGATCTACTGGGGGTGAACTAAATCTCGACAATTAATTTTCGCGACCAAGCCTTATTCGGATCTTTTCTTAATAGAAACAGTGACTTTAAGGACCGGTTCGCGGCGATATATATTCACGATAACGAGGCTCTCGCGAACTTCGCGAAAATTTCTCGCAAGCGAATAAAAGTTGGTTTACAGTATTAGAAAATAATTTTATGATTGAATGCCGTTCTATTTGATCAGCTGACATCGTTTTTTTTATCTAATTTAGAAAAATGTTTATTGCGGTTTATTTCATTCTAAAATGTTATCCCTATCAATACAATAATCGATCCAAAAATGTCATTGATTAACAGCAATTGCTCTCTTACAGTGAGCTTGCCCATTAGCATTACAAGGCATAAATACATGTAAATTACAGCAAAAACAAGTTCAGGAAGTGTGATCATTCTTACAGCAAGACTTATGTTCAACAAATTATACTTAGCACATTTAAGTGTTTGTTTTCCTGTAATGTTATTTTAATATATGCTTTAGATACGTTAAAGATGATAATAAATCTAAGTGCTTGATTTTAGACATTAGTTTTTGAAAGGCTATGAAACAGAGCAAATTTCCGACTTATGTGAATGACAAAAATCTCTTACAAGGTTAATTTCTATTTTATTGATTTGATTTCAAAATGACTGCCTTTTTGGGGATGTGGATTTTTTTTTATTACTTGGAGATTTTTACTGTGATGGTAAATATCTACACGATGTTAGAACTTTATCTCTGAAAGGTATTAGTCTTTTACTTTTTTAAAAGACATTCACGATAATAATTCAAACTTCTAAAGGTAACAAATATTGGAAGAGGGGAAAATCTGCATACATAATTTAGAAAACATTTATATCATTTGACAGGGGAAAAGTTTTTCTCCAATGACTTAAGCGAAACAATACGAAAATGAAAACTGTGCTTTCTGGTTATATTGTAAAATACTTTTTTGCGCTTATGAGTGTTGTTTTATGTTATATATTTCTGCTATAATGTAATTCTTTTTTCTTAATTCCGACTGCACATATTGACACAAAACTAATACTACAAATCCGATATATTAAAAACTTTAATATAGGTTTTAATTTCAATTATTCAAAAATTATGCTTCTGAAGAAAACTATTCTTTTCTATTTAAATGATTTAGTACCTGAAAACCATCGCATATTCAAACAAGTACATGTAATTCTTTTTTTTTTCATTCTTTCTAAAGACACCGTCCAAAGGTACAGCCGTATTAAATATGTTTAGCCTTATGCTTTTTATTTTTTAACCCATTTCAAAATAACTGGAAAACCATCTTGCAGCTTTCATTTTTTTTTTGTTAAAAAAGGAAAGTATCTCAAAAAATAATCTTTCAGAATAGCAAAAAAACATGGCATAGTCAAAATAAATCCTAAATCTCCTTCCCAATTAGTGCATTAGTGACTTGAAGCATTTTTTTTAGCGATGGGTCAGTCTTTCACTACTACACTTAAGAATATTACAAATAAATTGTATGTTTTTTTCAGCGGTGGTTCCATGCAGTCCTAACTGTATAGACATGGAATTCGATGGGAATGGAATTTGCACCCGTGGGTGCATTGAAGGGTTCTGGGGAGATAAATGTCTGAATGGATGTCCATCTTCTTGTTCCAGAAGAGTCTGCAATAGAACTAACGGACTTTGCATCTCCTGTAAAGACGGGAATTATGGACATAGATGTGAATACGAATGTAATTGGTATACTAAATGCTATAAACGAGCATGTGCTATAGACGGTGGATATTGTAGATTGGGATGTGTATCGGGGTATTATGGAAATTTCTGTGAACACCGTTGTGGTAACTGCAGTGATACATGTAACACATTGAATGGATATTGTAGGACCTGCAATAAAGGATTTTATGGTAAAAAGTGCGACATGAAATGTAGCAACACTTGCCTTAATCATGAATGTAGAAAAATGAATGGATACTGTAGAAATGGCTGCTACAGGGGATTTTATGGTTCATTTTGTGATTCGTCATGTAGTGGAAATTGTGCAAAAATTGAATGCCTTCAAAGTGGAATTTGTATTGGCGGGTGTAAACCAAACTGGTCCGGAGAAAGATGCGATAGTAAGTTTGGTAATTTTGGGCCAAGTTGTATTTTAACACGTCATTAACTATTATGTCAACCATTAAGCTGAGTTTGAAAATGTATTTTTTCCATGTAGTGATTAGCTTACATCTAGATAAAAAATTAGGAAAATAATTTATGCACCTTTTATATATTGAAAGATATCCTGTGCATTTCTGACTTTTCCTAATAACAAAGTTCTGCCATCTCTACTAGAAATAACATTCCTTAACTTACAATGTTATCAGATGAAATCAAAATAAGACATCTCGCAGCACAGTTAAGGTTACAAAAAGGAGGCGGAGCCTAATTTGTACGGGAAAACTTGACTATGACATCATACACAATATACGTCATACAACAATTCTTTAGAATACCACAAAATGAGTTTATGTGCTAATTTAACCAGTAAGAAATCATCAAACTACATAAAAACTTACTACAGCGTGTTGTGTTGTCGTTAGTTAAATCCCACATAACAAGTTATAAACAAGTCACTGATCGCAATACACTTGTCAATATGACGTCATTTCTTACAACGTGACGTAGTTTGTATGCAGTGAGAGACAGGATCAAGTAATATTTTTTCACCAAAATATGTATTCTATAATTAAATAAAATATTATTTACAGATATTCTATGAGCCAATAACTTGAATTTAATGTCTTCTTCACTATTTTATTAATATATTTTCTGTACATTACGTATTTAATTGACATTGCCGTATATTTGTATGCAAGTACATGGTAGGGAAATGTGGGGGGTCTTAATAAATCGATCTAGTGCAAGGGCATACACTCTATGGATCAAAGTAAGCTTTTAGATTTTAACTATAGAACTATTAAGGTATCTGAAAAGTGCTGCGATCCTGATGAAATCGTAAAAACAATTTAATTAAATCAATATTTCATGCCGCTGACCAGCAAAAAATATAGCATTCTGTCATACAAGTATAATTTTAAGAATGAAATTGCAGAATTTAGACAGGATCGCAGCACTTTTTAGAAACTACAAGGCGTGTTGAAAATATTTATATACTAAACTTTGAAATTTAACTTGGTTATGCCCTTGCACTAGTGATATTTATATGTAACATCAAGACTTCAAGTCAATGTGCTAAAATCGCGTGACTGCCGCATCACGTGACTAATCTAAATATAAAATATAATCGTCCTCGATATGTAGTTATTAATCATAACTACAATTATCCGATATAAATAATGTACTAAAAATAATCGCCATCCCGATTACGAATACATTTTTAAATACAAAATTTAGTCGATATTTCTATTGCGCACCTTAACTGTACTGCGCTAAAATAATTCCTTTGTCGTCTTTATGAATTGTAAATCATATTGCAATTTTGTTAAATTTCATGTATCGAAGGGAGAACAGTGTCTGAAAGAAATTATCTGTTAGGGTTGTGGCATGAATTGAATTGTTTCCAGAGATGTGTAGACAAAATACTGCACGGTCTGTATTTTTCAAATTAATAAGTTTTTTATTCTTTGACGACGAAAAATCTATTATTTTTTGCAGGATGTGAATTCGGACATTACGGACCTGATTGCTCCAAGATATGTAGTGTGAATTGTAAAAGACAAACTTGTGACAATGTCACTGGATCCTGCACATATGGATGTATTAATGGGTTCTATTCAGATAAATGTGAAAAGAGTTGCAGTTTATCATGCCTGTCAACTTTCAATAGAGACTCAAAGGAATATGAAGGCCAATGTCCGGTTGGCAAATATGGAACTTATTGCAATAAAACTTGCAACTATAATTGTAAAAATGGATGCAGTAAAGTCAATGGATTATGCGATTTTGGGTGTATTACCGGGAAATTTGGAGTTGACTGTCTCCGAAACTGTGCTGATGGATGTATATCTGGTTGTCTTCAAGACGATGGTAGTTGCACTTGTAAAACAGGATGGCAGGGTCAAAAATGTGATGGTAAAACCATAAAAATATAATAGCTCAAGATATCTTTCTCTCAAAAACATTGCTCTGAAGAGTAGTGACGATTGAGAAATTAAATTTTATGTATTTTTGTGTATAACTAACAAGCCCCTGAATGGTACCAATATAAATCATGAATAAGAATTTATATTCAAAGAATCGAGATATTGATATAAATCATTTAAAAATGTTATTTGGACAACCAACATCTTTCATTTTCAATTTGAATTACACTGAACATTACATGATATCTATATGCAGAATGCAGCCAAACTCATTACGGACCACAATGTGATCAACTATGTAGTCCAATCTGTATAAATAGAATCTGTTTTTCAAACAACGGGTCATGTATAAGGGGACTCCAAAGCAATCTTACAGATAAAAAACCTTATTCTGGTAAAGAACAGTTTTCTCTTATTTTTCCAGTTTATCGACCACATATCAAACAAGAGGCCCATGGGCCTTATAGGTCACCTAAGCATTATGCAACAACTTTCCAGTGATTGAATTTGATACATATTTTAAACCAGTTGCTATGGCATTCACAATTTTGAAAGAGCTGGCGGTCCATTGGTCATCATAACTATACATTTAGCAGTTGCTCAGTTTGATTACTTAATACCCATAGGCAGGGTAGGGGAACAAAAAATTCATTTCAACTAATCAGTAATATTCAGCAATAATCAGTAGTGTCCCTACCATACATGAACCCCTGACCCTTAGGCCTAGATCCACACATTGCACAATTTTTGTACAGGCATTCTTGCTTTTCAAAAATATTTGATTAATACCAAGGAGCAGGTTTCAAACAATTCATTACATATTATATTTTCAGTATATACATACAGCCCCCCTGACCCTGGGGCCTTGAATTCAAAATTCTGGAAGATTATCATAACTATATAGGTAGTTCATCTGCTTAATATCCAGGAGCAAAGAAGATAATTTTCAAAGATTTAATGTATTTGCACTATATAATCAATAGAGCCCCGCCCAAACACCAGAATCCCTGACCCTGGGGCCATAAAATTTATAATTTTTAAAGAGGCATTCTTGCTCAATTTTAACTATATAGGTAGCTAATCTGCTTAATACCCAGGAGCAAAGAAGAAATTTTTCAAAGATTTAATTTATTTTCACTATATGATCAAAAGAGCCAAACCCTAACACCAGAACCCCTGACCCTGGGGCCATAAAATTCATAATTTCGGTAGAGGCACTCTTGCTCATCATAACTATGCACTTTGTAAGTTTATTTAATACCTAGGAGAAGAGAAGAAGATTTTCAAAGAATTCATGTATTTTCACTATATAAGATAGAGCCCCGCCCTAACACCAGAATCCAGGACTCAATGCTGATTACAATCATGCAAATAGTTTGACTGCTTGATGTCCAGGAGTAAAGAAGAAGATTCTTAAAGATTGCATTAATTTTAGTGGTTTTGGCCCCACCCCTCAGACCTCGAGGGGGGTAGGGATCATGAAATTCACAATTTCTGTTCCCCTTCACCCATAGATGCTTTGTGCCAAATTTGGTTGAAACTGGTTCAGTGGTTGCAGAGAAGAAGCTGAAAATGTTCAAATGTTAACGCACGACGCACGACGACGGACGAAAATGGATAGCAATAGGTCACCTGAGTTTACTCAGGTGGCCTAATAAATGGATAAAAAATTGAACATTATATTATTCACGCATATAATTATTTGTTTTTCATTTATTTTTTTTAAGAAGACGTGCTATGAGAGATTAATAGAAAGATTTTTTTTATAATTTAAGAAATCGACCAGATATTAGAGAACTATTCAACAGCTCTCTATGGAGTCATTGCAACGCTCTGTATAAGTATTATTGTCAATATTGTTCTGATTTTCAGGTAACTTTTATTATTATTATAAAGATATGCATGACAAAAGATGTAAGTGAAAAAAAATATTTAAATTAATTTTTTTCAGTATTTTTTTCTTGTTTTCTGTACATTTTACACTTTTGATTTCAATAACTATTCTAATTTTGCAGGAATATCAGACAAAAATTTCCTAACAAAGAAAAGCAGGAAACCAGCCGACGAAATTCATACAATATGCAAACACAGCTATGTTTGCCGAAGTTGAAGCTAACGCGGGTTATCAAGAACTTGGACAATTGAGTCAACCTTCTCATTATGATGAACTCAAAGGACTGTTTGAATAAAAACATGATTGATTTATTGACATTCCCCCTATTGAAGAATATTACACTCATATACAAATGTACAATCATCAACATATATTACTGAAGGGCTCAAATCTAGACTTTTACTTGGCAATAAGGTACATTCAGCGGTAGTGGACCTTTTTCTTTGAAAGCCCTATTTGACAAAGAACCTCGTTTAAGGTCTCATCCAAAAGTCTGCAAATTTCATTGCAAAGTACTTGAAGTTGAGATGTACATTTTATCGACTAAAGTTATGCGTGGCTGTGGTTTGAAAGAACCCACGACCGTATCATCAAAGAGCGTATATTCCACTAAGTTGTCTTCATGATGGGTGACCTATATTGAATCTACGTCTAATTTTGTTCAAATTTTAACTTTTGAATTTGTAATGGAATTTTCATTTTCACGTGAGAAGATGAAAATGTTTTTTAATTGTTATGCTGATTTACAAATGCAACAATGAACACTGCTTTATTTGCACTCTTGGTTTGTATGATAGCAATTGTAAATGTATATTATTCAAAGTGATTTAACACTTAATATCATTTTCTCATGTTCAGTTCAATTCATCATCTGTTTGCATATATCAAGTAATGAAAAAGAGCAACAAGTAACCATTTTACGAGAGAGAGAGAGAGAGAGAGAGAGAGAGAGAGAGAGAGAGAGAGAGAGAGAGAGAGGGAGAGAGAGAATCAACTATTTTAAATATGTCGTAAAGAATATTTTTTTCTTTTTTTAAAAATCATTAAAATAGTGATCCTTGTTTTAATAGTGGTAAATCATTTGGTTTTTGGTTTTATAATGCATTTTCAACCACTTTTGTAATATACATAGAGCATATATCAGTTTTATTCACTGTTTTTTAAACTTGTAACTTACAATTGAAATAAAGACAGACTTGAATGAATTTCTATTTCAATGTCATTATTCATTTAAGTTTTGAGGACCATACTTTTATTTCATTGTCTGATTAATAGATGATTTCTTAGCGGTATGATTTAACGCATCGTGGTGTGCATCAAAACTCCTAAAAGAAGAAATGCGAAAGATGAATTTTATTTACACAGTTAGACGTACAGTATTTTTAGCCAAGTATTTACGGAAATAAGGATTAAGAAATGTATCAGATAAATGTTTTACATACTTATATATAGAAAGAAGTGAAGCTTCATCTTCCGATTTCAACTAAAATTACCCCTTGTGAAGTGGCATTAAAATGATCTGATAAAATGAATACTTGAAACATGTATCTGAAAAGAATGTAAATGATTTATCATAGAATTGCACATAAACACATATTGTGGATGGAATAAAAAATTTAGATATTTGTTGATTGTTTAATTGATTTTATGTTAACATGGATTGTTCCCTAGGGAAAACAATAATTTGTACCCCAGCAAAACAAACGTTTTTAAAGTCAGTGATACATGTACTTGATGCCAGAAATTGTGAATGGTGCGCTATAAAATACAGCAGTTTATAAAACTTCTGAAAGCAGATCGACAAAACTAGTAATCCCACGATACCTATGAGGCCTGGAGATGTTTTTAAACACAGAAAAGAATATAAAACTAGAAATACCGTGAGGGATGAGCTCACTTAATGATACCCACGCCTCCTATATGAATATAATGGCAGTGTCCATGTTTTGCTATAGAAAACGCAGATGCTCAGAGACAGGACCCCTCTCCCCCTAAATATAGACCCCCCCTTGTTAGACTTTTTCACATAAATTATATATTGATGAACATTTGTGATATATTCTATCTTATCAATTCAGAAAAATGGCTCAAACTAACATTTTATAAAAAATTTTACCCCACTATCTCTATATATTCTAAGAAGGCTGCCAACTTCGTCAGCAAACCGAGAGACACTGCCGAGAATTTTGGTTGAATCGTCTCATAAATCTAAACAAAGCTCTAAAATCATCAACTCATATTGTAGATTGAATATTCTTTTCATTAACCACCAACTCTCATGAAGGTTAAGGCACTTCAACAGTCGGTATGGCTAGTTTTCCACAAGGATGTCAGGCTACAGTCAGCGTTTTTGCTTAGTGAACGGGAGTGACGAGGAGACGACTTTTTACCGAAATACACAGTTCTGCAGAAAGTCTGAAACACTGTTTTGAAATAAACATTTGTAGAAATTTGTTTGATATACACTTTTAAAAATGTCTTTCAAAATGTATTGATAAAATAGACTTCTAAACCGCTGATGTAAATGAAATGCCTTTAATTATTATTTTTCAAATAGCTGATTTGCATGAATCGGTTTTGAGAGTTACAATGTATACCCTTTTAAAAATGCAATTTATTAAAATACCTTCTTTTCCTTAAATATTTCTTGTAAAATCTACAAAACGTTTGAAAATAAAATTTTGATGAAGAATTCGTACAAAAACAAGAATATAGCTACATGTATTGTTGATATCTTACACACATATTTGGTTATACAGGGCCCATGGGAAATAGTCCTCTACTCAATACTTCCGTTCAATAAGCATTTCACGAAGCTTGCAACCTTGTTGATTTTTATATATAGAATATAGGGTAGATTTTAAAGAATGTTTGTTAAAGGTGATTTTTTTATTTGTTGGTATAGATCTTATCACAAATATGTCTATAAAAGATTATTTATGAAAAAAAATCGAAAAAGCCCAGGGGTCTATATCAAAGGTGGGAGGGGGATTCCTGGCTTTCTCGAGCACCTGTGATAGAAAACACAAAATATGTGTCGGATCGAGGAATGGCGTAGAAGGATATGAAGATAACGAACAGTCCAAGAAACAATACAAAATAGGAGCAGAGTAATCACGGACCTCCAAAACATCAGAGGTGGTATCAGGTGTCATGGTGGAGTGACCATCCCCTGCTGACTGGTCACATCTGGCTTGTGCTCCTTGTCCTGATCGGGAGATATCGGAAAAATCCGTCGTTAATTCAGTGTATAAATACTGGACTAACATTTAGTATGAAAAACGTCAGTCAGAATATATATATATGACTCAATGATAAATTGTATTGGCTGACAAGGTCATTGTATCGACCATAGAACTTACGAAATGATGACTTTAAACGAGACTGCTGATATTCTTGTTTCATCGTGTAAGAGATGGGTACCCCAAGGCGCCACAGACGGAGGACGGACGGACAGGC